TCAAGGAGAGATTCAACCTAGAAATAAGAAATTTTCTGACAATGAGAACAATCAACCAATGGAACAATTTGCCTCCAGATGTTATGAGAGTTTCATCACTGAAAGCTTTCAAGAAGAGACTGGACTGCCATCTCTCAGAAATGGTGTAGGGTCTCCTGCTTGGGGGGGGGGGGAGGTTGGACTAGATGACCTACAACAGATATGTCAAACTCGCGACATCATGTGACGTCACGCAACGTATCAGGACGGTTTTGCCATTGCCGGCAATGGGGTGGGTGCAGCTTCTACAAGGTCCCTTTCAACTCTATTATTCTAATTCTAATTCAACCCTGTGAGGTGGTTTGGGCTGGAAGAGTATGATTGGTTCAAAGTCACTCAGCTGGCTTTCATGCCTAAGGCAGGACTAGAACCCACAGTCTCCTGGCAATTGGCCCATAGTTAGCCAGCTGGCTGTCATGCCTAAAGTGGGAGTAGAACTCATTGTCACCTATTTTGTAGGCCCGCACCTTAATCCCTACACCAAACTGGCTCATGGCTTTTTAAACCTCTTTGGTGAATGCAGATTCACAACATCTCTGAAGCAGCAATTTCTCTGTTTGCTATAAAAGATTCCTGTGCATTGGTTTCTCTCTTTTAAGAATGATGGATGAAGTTGATTTTTAACAGTTTCTGCTGCTTCAAATGTAAATACATTTATTTACAAAAGAAAAATACCACCTGTGTCACCCAGCCTCTCTTTTTACAGTCTCCTGCCTCAACCTCCTGCTCTTAACATTTGGCAGTGATTATGGATGAATGATAGTAGCATGCTTTAATACTTTCAAAATAAACACAATGATATAAGAATATGTGTTTAGTTTTTTTAAAAAAAAAACTTACAAGAAAAGCTGAAAATTATGATGGCATGTACAGGTAGTTCTTGACTTACCACCACAATTGAACCCAAATATTTTGTTCCTAAGGAAGACAGTTAAATGAACTTTGCCCCATTTATGACCCTTTTTTTGCCAACGTCAATAATACAGTTGCGAAGTGAATCTGGCTTTTCCATAGACTTTGGGTCCCAAAAGGGGATCACAAGCTCTCCACACACACTGCAACCATCATAAATATGACTCAGTTGCCAGGGGGATACTGCAACGGCTGTAAGTGTGAAAAAAGATCATAAGTCACTTTTTTAGTGGTCTTGTAACTTTAAATGGTCACTAAATGAACTGTTGTAAGTTGAGGACTACCTGTATCCGATCAGGATGGGAAGAAAAGGCTACAGACCTTTAGCATTATAGCTTAAAAAGGTGAACAAGGGTAAAATACACAGGTAGTTCTCCCTTAGTGACTAACAACTTTATTGCTAAACAGTGTAAGTGAAATCTCACTATTGCAATCGACTTACAATGTCACTTCTCATTTTGTTGTCATTGTTGGTTGTTGAGCAAGATATCATGGGACTGCAACTGCTCAATTGACTCAGCTTGTCGGAAACAGTTGTGAAATGGCAATCACATGATCACGGGGACACTGTGATGTTTGCAGTTGAGAGGACTGGTTGTAAAGTTACTTTTTCCCACCATCACAACTTTGAACATCACTAAACAGGACAGATATTAAGTGAGGACTACCTGTAATAGAACTGTATAATTTTGCAGGGCTCTATACCAGTGGTTCTCAACCTTTTTAATGCCGCGACCCCCAACCGATTGTAAGTTGAGGACTACTCAACCGGTCATAAGTCGAGGACTACTCAGCTGGTGCAGCACCATTTGCAGAATGGGACTTTTGGCGGGCTCAGCAGGGCAGAGACAGCCTGGACAATTCCTATTGGCTTTTGAAAGCCAATAAAATTAGACTCTATTCAAGAGAGTCTATTCTATTGGCTTTCAAAAGCTAATAGAATAAAAGGGAGTAGCACTAAGGAAAAGGGGGAAAAAATGGCGGACTGTGTTGTTTGGCGACCCCCGTGAAATGGTCGTTCAACCCCAAATGGGGTCCCTACCTACAGGTTGAGAACCACTGCTCTATACCATCGGAAAGTTGCATTTTATTTTTCCTGTGGCCCACCCCTTTTGTTGGCTTCATACAATACACCAGCAATAGTATCCTATATTTGAAGATTAGCATTGTGGCTTAACTCAGTCAATTGTGGTTTAATCAATTTACCATGGTTAGAAAAGTCATTGCTTAATGTGGTATGTAACATAGCTACTACAGGGAAATTCTGGGAGCTAGAATTCTTTTGACTGTGCACTAAGATGAAAGGGTGTTGGCTGTTTCCCTCTAGTTATTATGACATAAAAGCAGCTTTCTCCAGGCTGATGTCTTTTAAATATGTGTTAGGCTCCAGCTTCTTAGCCTAGAGCAGCATATGGCATATGGTAGCTAGGGATGAAAAGAGTTGCAGGAAAACAGATCTGGAAGTGCCAGATTAGAAGAGAATCAGGGCTAATCATGCCCCATCTTTCTCTTAGCAGGAAAAAAAAGTGTTTTTTTTGGGGGGGGGGGGGCAGTTCAATGAAACACATAATTTCTGCTTCTACTTGGGAAGCCAAATGGTTAAAATTAAAGAATAGAGCCACTTTGCTAACCCTGATCCTGTAACATTCCACGTAGCTAAGAAAGGAAGAAAAAAGAAAAAGAGAGAAGATCACCCTGAGATCTTAGGTAGTAGATCTGTCTTGCACAGTACACCAATGGTTGTAGCTTTTCTGATCCTAGTCCTCTGGAACAGACGTAACCTTTCTTTAATCTCACCTGTTTTTCCCCAGCTGTGTTGCTTTACAGGTAATCCTCGACTTAACAACCGTAATTGAGCCTGCCCATCATGGTTAGTCACGATGGTCATAAAACAGGTCACCCCATGACCAGATCCACTTTTGCAACCATTTTTGCTGTGGTTGTCGAATGACTTGCTGTGATTATTAAGTGAATACTGCAGCTGTTAAACAAATGCTGTTTTGGAGCAAAAACATAAAAATGCAGTCATACGATTGCAGGATGCTGCAAATGCCCATAATGTGGGCTGATTGCTAAGCACCCAAAATACAGTCATGTGACCACAGGAGGGGGCATCTGTTGGAATTTTAGAACTGGTTGTAAGTAGCTTGGGGGAGGGTCTGTTGTAAGTCGAGGACTACCTATATTCTCCTTTCAATCATTATTTTCTTGCACTGTGCTATCAGTAAAGTGACCAACCGTCCTCCTTTAGGGAGGACAGTCCTCCTTTTTAAAGTTCTGTCCTCCCTCAAAAAGTGTCCTCCTTCATGTCCTCCTTTTCGATATTTGAAGACTAATCTGCAGGGCTTTTTTCTCGTAGAACGCTCAGAACGGCGTTCCGGCACCTTTTTTTGATGGTTTTTTTTTTTTCAACTTTTGCATGAGCTGTGCTACTCCCCCTATTGGCTTTTGAAAGCCAATAGAAATTGCTGCTGAGCGTGCCAAAACACTCAGTCGGCAAATTTTGCACATGTAAGTTGTCTGCAGCGAAGGTGAATTGGCAGGAACTTTGCACCCCTCCCTGCTACCTAACTACATCATCTCCTAGTTAATCCCGAAGATACCTGGAGGAAACTGGAGCGGTGACGCCACGGTAATTTTCTGTTGATCTTCGGCCCTGCTAGGGCAATAATGGCTGTGGGTGCAAGAGGCAGGGGTGGTGGGGCTGCTGCGGGTGAGGGTGTGAGGGGCGGCAGTGGCCGGCTACCCATGCTGTGGGAGCTGCGGGGCCTGCTCTACACGGGGCTGCACAGGGTGGGCGGTGCAGCAGGTGGGGTGTGTCGATGGCGGACTGCCCCCCCCTGAGGCTGGAGCTGGTGCAGCTGGTGATTTGGGAGCTGCGGGGCCCACTATACATGGCGGGGCAGCAGTGCTGGCAGGGTGGCTGCAGGCAGGGGTGCGGCATGTAAGCATAATTACAATATAAAATGTTATTGTTACAAATGTTTTATTATGCATTTATCATATTATAATGTATTCTGTATTATTGTTGCAGTGAATAAAATGTTTCTTTCATTTACGAAATTTTTTTCTTCAATTTATTTGTGTCCTCCTTTTCATTGTAAAATGTTGGTCACCTTACTATCAGCAGCTGCCCACCCATATCTCTGCCCTATTCTGGCTCATACAGGTAGTCTTTGCATTACAACCACACATGAGCTCAAAATTTTTATGGCTAAGCAAGGCAGTTGTTAACTGAGTTTTGCCCCATTTGTCCACCCTTTTTGCCACAGTTGTTAAGCAAATCACAACAGCTGTTAAGTGAATCAGGTGTTAAGTGAATCCAGCTTCCCCCAGTGATTTTGCTTGTTGGAAGCGGGCTAGGATGGTTACAAATGGTATGATCACGTGACCCTGGAATGCTGCAACTATCATAAATACATTCCAGTTGCCAAGTACCCAAATTTTGTTCACATGACCATGGGGATGCTACAATGGTCTTAAGTGTGAAAACTGGTCATATGTCACTTTTTTCAGTGCCTCTGTAACTTCAAATGGTTGTAAGTTGAGGACTACCCAGTGATGGGATTTAAATATGTGAACAACCGTTTCTCTGTGTGGATGCCGCTTCCAGAAGTCCATTTTGGTCCTGGGCAACAAAAAACTAGCTACCGCTTCTATGAACTGGCTGAATCCCACCACTGGGACTACTGATATACAGGTAGTTCTCAATTTCCAGTTTGATATTATGATGGACCCTGAAAAAGCTATTTACACCCTGGATTCAAAGCTCCAGGTTCAGCTGGCGGAGGCTAATGGAAAACAAAGCATGAAGGGTTCTTGACCATATAGGGCAGGGGTGTCAAACTGCGGGCCCGCAGGCCAGTTGCATTATAGAGAGGCTGCACCCACCTCAGCACTGCAATGTAAAAAAAGTCATGATATGTCGCGACACCACGTGATGCGGCGAGTTTGACACCCGTGATATAGAGGGAAATGAAATTGAAAAACCAGTTAGAGAGAGCTGACATTGCTACACTAAGAAGTTTTGAGCTTGAAATGAGAAGTGCTGCAAAGGGTAGAAAGAAGATCTAGTCACTTTACTTCCATTTTTGCCTGCTGCACCTGATCCCATCTCTGAATAGATCAACCATGGATGGTGAGAGATACTTATTTCCAGGTGGAATTATTTAGGAAGATCTTATTTCTCTTTATCTTTGTTTTGCCTTCTTCTTTCTTTCCTATGCCCTTCTCTTGCCTGCTCACTCTCTTCTATAAGCTAGCCCATGGGTGGGGGAACCTTGGCTCTTTTATGACTTGTGGACTTCAACTCCCAAAATTCCTGAGCTGGCTGGCTCAGGAATTCTGGGAGTTGAAGTCCACAAGTCATAAAAGAGCCAAGTTTCCCCACCCATGGGCTAGCTGCAGCGGCTCCCAACCTTTTCTATACCCTGCACCCCTAAAATGCTTCTGATATATTCTCACACCCCTTACAAAAGTTCAAAGTAATAGCAATGAATTATGCATATACACTATAATTTTGAAAACCCAAGTTTTCACACCCCCTTTTGGGAACTCTTGGGCTAGAGGATAACAAGTTGGAGGAATGGCTGAGTTCATGTAAACTTTTTGAGGTTTTAGTTTTAAAAAAAGGTTGATTGTGGAAAAGGTTTTGCTTAGCAATGTTAAGCTGATTTTGGTTTCTATTTCTTAAGAATGGTGCAAAGAAACAAAACTTAAGATTCTGAAAGTTATTTCCAGGCAGAGGAAATCACATGAGAATTTGAGGAAGTTTATTGCCATTTTCCTGTTGAAAGAAGATTGTACAGTACTATAATATAATATGTATATGTGTGTGTATACACATGTTGCCCTTGACTTACAACAATTCATTTGGTGACCATTTGAAGTTAAACAGCGCTGAAACAAATGACTTATGATTGTTTCTCATCCTTATGACTGCTGAAGCTTCCCCATGGTCATGTGATCAAATTCAGATATTTGGCAACTGACTCATATTTATGACGGTTCCAGTGTTCCAGGGTCATGTGATCACCATTTGCAACCTCCTGACAAGCAGAGTCAATGGGAAAGCCACTTAATAAATGTTGCTAAATGAACAACTGCAATAATTACGACTTTGGCAAGACAGGTCAAAAAATGGGACAAAATTAACTTAACCACTGTCTTGCTTAGCCTTAGCAACAGAAATGTTGGGCTCAGCTGTGGTTATAAATTGAGGACTATCTGTATGTGTGTGTGCATGTGTGTGTGTGTATATATAAACCATATGCATACATTTTTTTAGATTGCTAACAAAGAATAAAGGGAGAATTGGAATAGCTATTTTGAGCTTCTTAACTCTCTTCAGCCAGACATACTCTTCTGAGATTCGAACCTGGGCTGTGTGCATGTTAGGCAGATGTATTAACCTCTAGGCCACAGGCTCTTTCTCACTTTGTCAGCTGTATCAGGGAGGGAAGAGACAGGGGGAGGAGATTTACCTTGAATGTTTTTTGATGCACCCTGTCAGCCCCCCCCCCCCAAAAGGATTTCTTTCTCCCATATTTGGGCCGACAGGGTGCATCAAAAAACACTCAGGATAAACCATATACTTATATCTCTATATACTAATATTCTTGGTACAGTTTCATGTTGTTCCTGGAATTTGAGTTGATTTTGCCTGGCAGGATACTTAAAAAAAACCAAGGGAAGGATTTCCGTGGAAAGCCAAGTTATCTCCATTTAAAGAAACAGCAAAGATAATTTGCTTGTGGGGATTTTAAAGCAACTTCCAGCAAGCAATCTGTTGTTCTAGATCAGGGATTTCTGAACTTTTTGCCATCACATCTCCCGTTTAGTGTAATCTTAATTTATATACCTTCCCTAAAAATCCACATACCAAAATGTACACAACAATAAAAACAATGGAGTCCTTGGTGCTCTGTGAGTTTGGTTTTTCTTTTTTTGCCGACGAAAGTGTTACCTAGTTGAGTAATAATGAAACATCTGCAAGAAAACAACCAAGCTCAGAGAGCACCAAGGACCCCTCACAGTTCAACTCTGAGCTAGAGAGACTCTAATGAAAACTTTGGGAAAGATGGATAGATGTCATTGAAAGCTGAAGAAGCTTTCAATGACATCTATCCATCTTTCCCAAAGTTTTCATTAGAGTCTCTCTAGCTCAGAGTTGAACTGTGAGGGGTCCTTGGTGCTCTCTGAGCTTGGTTGTTTTCCCTGGACCTCTGCATCTCCTTAGACCTCACTGTTTAGAAAATCCTGTTCCGAATGTTTGAATAGCAAATTTCAATACTTACAGTCCTCAACTTACAGTCACAATTGAGTTCAGAATTTCTGTTGCTAAATAAAGAAGTTAAGTGAGTCATGCTCAATTTTACAATCTTTTTCCCCATGATTGTTAAATGAATCACTGCTGTTGTTAAGTGAATCATGCAGGCATTAAGAGAATCCAGCTTCCCCCTTGACTTTGCTTGTCGGAATCTGGCTGCGAAGGTCACATATGGCAATCACATGGCCCCAGGATGCCACAGCCATCATAAATACATGTCTCTTGCCAAGTGCCCAAATTTTGATCATGTGACAATGGGAAAGCTGCAATGGTTGTTTGAGGACTGGTTTTAAGTCACTTTTTTCACTCCTGTTTTAGGACACTTCTGTATGGGTGAGGTTTCCCGAGCAGAAATTCTCCTCCTGAATAGGACCGCAGTTTGGGACTTGCAATGCTTTACACATATTTACTTAGGTGTAACTCCTACTTAAGTCCCTGAAGCTTACACCTTGAGTAAAGAAGTCGTGGGCATTCCGCTCAAGCAGAAGTCCAGTCCTCCGCACTTTCCCCTGAATAAAACAAGACTTCGCCCCAGATTTTACAGCTCTCAGCATCTGTGACCGCCTCGCTCTTGTTTCTGTTCCCTTTCTCTTCCACAGCCAGTTCGGTTTCCATTTCTCTGACAGGAAAGGCAGCAAGTTATTTAACAGCGTGCAGACGTCTCCGCTGCCGGCACTCTGCTGATTGGGCGGAGGGGGCGTCGAGGAGCCGCTTGGATCTTTTCCTCTGGGGAAGCCACGGAGCATCGCTGAATTGACAACCTGAAGACCGGGAGTGGCGTGTAGGTATTGATGGGGACCAGCGTGCCTGGGAGGGTAAAGAGAAAAAGGGGCTAGAACGGTTCAAGAAAGCAGGGCAGGATCCGAGCCAGCCGATAGGATCCCATCGCCCCATTAATTCAATCCGAGAATACGATCCTAGCTTGGAGCATCGCTTCGGGCAGGTCTTTATGGGTTCTTTTAATTTCTAGAACAGTGTTTCCCAAACTTGACAATTTTAAGGCATGAGGACTTCAACTCCCAGAATTCCACAGCCAGCAACGCTGGCTGTGGAATTCTGGGAGTTGAAGTCCACATGCCTTAAAATTGTCAAGTTTGGGAAACACTGTTCTAGAAGGTAATCACTTAAAAAAAAAAGCAAATTAGAAAAAAAAACCCAACAATAAATAGCCTTGCTACAGCGAAGCGAAGAGGATCCGTATATAAATAATTGCTGTGTTTCCGTTCGATGTTTCAGTAGCATAGGGATCTGTTTGCTGGATCAGAAAAATCCAGTTTGAGAGAGGAGAAGATTGTAACGGATCTCCTGCGATGGAGCAGACTTTGGCCGGCTGAACCAGGTGCCTAATCGCGAATGAATTGATTCGAGATGGTGTGTCTAAGTTTCGTTTGTGATCAATAAATGTCAGCGGGTCAATAACCTTAAAACTTAAAAGCTTGAAAGACAGTTTAGATTTCAGACAGAAATAGATTCCTCCTCTCAAACCGTTTCCAACTTTCCTAAAAATTGACTATTCCCGGTTTGCAGGGTTGCAGTGGATCAAGTTCCCTTGGATTCATCCTAGAATTAATTTGCACTCAGTTCAAATCAATTGGTGTGATTATGTTACACCTGTATTTCATTTTTATATACTTTCTTCTTATTCCTGCAGGTTGAAGAATGTCTCAAAAGGAGAAAAAAAAGTAAGGATTTGTGTATGTGTGTTTGTGTGCAGAGAGAAGGCAGAAGGATTATGGCTGGGGATTGTGAAAATGGCAATGCCACATACATGAGAGCAGGTGTAATGGTTGAAACATTGAACTACAGTAGAGTGTGTTTACATCTATGCACAGGTTGTGCATGTGTGGGCGTGCATAGAGTTGCATATAACTTTCCAAGAGAAACATGAATGTGACATTATATTCCCATATAGGAGATTTTGGGTGATGTACATGCATACACACTTGGGGAGGAAGGCTTCAGATCCCAGCCTATCCTCAGCACAAGAACTAAGCTGGGATAGTGAAATAGTTGGATTAGGAGCAAGGAGAGAGAGGCAGGTTCTAATCTGCCTCAGTTTATTAGGTAAATCTGGGGCAGGGTCTCAGCTCAGCCCAGAAAAAAATTAGGTATTATGCATGGATGAGCCTTTCTGGTGTAGTGTTTAAGGCACCAGACTAGAAACTGGGAGACCGTGAATTTTAGTCTTGCCTTAAACACAAAGACAGTTGGGTGACTTTGGACCAGTTTCTCTCTCTCTCAGACTTAGCAAGAAAAAGGCAAAAAAAAGGCATTTCTGAAAAACTTTGCCAAGGGAACCGCAGGGACTAGACAGAAATTGACTTCATAGCACAGGAGCAAGCTTGCGCAAACACAAAACCCTCTATGTAGCTGTAAAGAGGAAGAGGAAAGAGTGGGAAGAAAAAGATTTACCCTATCTTTGCAATATTGGGAAGCGTCTCTCGGCCCCAGATCCCTCCCAGAAATATCACTGCTACAGTATTGTATAGGCTGGCCCAAACTCTCCGGTATATTTTTCTGTTTCTTTTTATCTAATTTCTGTAAGGATCTTTAAATGCCCCCCCCCCCAATTTTTTTGGGGGGGGGCAATGACTATACCCCCAAAATGTGTAGAATCAGAACTAACATAAATTTGATTCTAAATAACTGATTTGTGTACATGGATCTATATTTTATTAATGTTCCCAGCCTGCTTTTCACTAACAGCAATTTCACATGAGGCTTTGAACAGAGTTTATATACCATTCTTCCTAGTGAATTTAAGAGGGGTGCTTCAGATCTTAGTGGTTAAGATGCCGGGCTAGAAAGCAGGGAACTGTGAGTTCAAGTCCTGCCTTAGCCATGAAAGCTAGCTGGATAACTTTGGGCCAGTCACTCACTCTCTCTCTCTCAGCCCAACCCACCTCACAAGGTTGTTGTTGTGGAGAAAGGAGGAGCAGGAAGATGTGTTGGATATGTTTGACACCTTGAATTATTTGCAAAAATAATAAAGGTGGGTTACAAATAAATAAAATTTGGTAAAAGAATTTTGGATCTCATAGAGATGCAACACCTCTGTTGTTATTCCTTAAAGCAGCCACATTCTGTGATCCTAAAAAGTTGAATCTGTTCCTTAAGGAATCCACTCATGAAAATTCGAGTTGATGTTTGAAGTGAAAGAACTTTTTTGTTCTGGCCGTTTTAAAAAAGAGAAAAGAGGTTAACTGCTATAGTGTTCAAAGTACTTTTTTTTCAAAGTATATCCAGCTGTAGTAGCTAATATTACCCTCCATCCAATTAAATATTATAATTTGGCAATATTTTTTGAGGGTCACTTGCAGCTACGCCCAAGGCTTATGGGAAATCAGCCTGAATTGTCCCACTGATCATATGTCCATTTGACCAATTTATTTATCAAATTTAGAGACGACCATCTCACATTTTTTTAAAAACAAGTTTTATTAATTTTTTCGATTTTACATTCAGATATTTAGGAAGCAGCATGGTGATTGGGTAGTCAATAGTCCAATAACAGAGTTTTTCATACATATCTCACTCTTAATCCCTTTGTTCTAGCCTTGGAATCACCTTGTGAGGACATAGGCTGAGAGAGAAATGGTGATGGGCTAAATGTGGCCAGAATATCATTTGTTGATGGCTTAATGTGTTGTATGAATACAACCGTATAAACCAGAGCTGACTAGTAAATATATGTGGTAAACCTTGCCTGCTGTGCAATGAAGAAAACTGTTCAACAATTTAAAATTTAAATCTATGGGTAATTTCTGGACAAAGTTTTAATCTTGAATTATCTTGGCTGGCTCATATAATTTTATGGGGCGTTGTATTTGTACAGGTAGTCTTCAACTTAAGGACTACAACTGGGACCAGAATGTTTATTACTGTGCAAGGCAGTTGTTAAATGAGTCATACCCAATTTTATAACCTTTTTTTTGCCACAGTTGTTAAGCAAATCATTGCAGTTGTTAAGTGATCATGCCTTCATAATCCTGCTTCCCCCATCTTGTCATTGTTTCTTTCACTTGTTCACTTTCCATATCCAAAATTAACAAAAAGTTATACATTTTCTTAATTAGTTTCTCATCTGAGGTTAACAAAATCTTATCAAACATAGTTTGATGCTTATAAAATCCATACATTTTTACATCTTTTTCATATCTACTTTGTATCTGTAAATGTGCCCACTAAGTTAATTCCCTGATTTTCCAGTTCTTGTTTAGATTTTAATTTCCCATCAATATTTAGAATATCTTTAATGTCCCTATTTTTTCAAAGTCTACCAAATTCAGATGTATAAATGCCTCCATCGTTGATAACCACCCTGGAATTTTTAAATATATTTTAGCTTTAATTTTTTCCCATACTGTTGACAAGGCATTTCTTATAAAATGATTTTGAAAGTACTGATGAACTTTGTTTTTCCCGTACCATAAGAAAGCGTGCCACCCCAATTGTAAATCATGTCCCTCTAGATACAACAACCTTTTATTTCTAAGTGTTATCCACTCTTTCACCCATGTTAACACAGATATTTGGCAATACAATGTCCATTCCGGCAATCCAAAACCTCCATTTTCCTTAGCATTTTGTAATGTTTCATCTTAATTCCAGCTTTTTTCCCCTGCCAAATAAAGTTCAAAATTAATGAATTTAAATCTTGAAAGAATTTTCTCTCAAGTTTTATCAGAATTGTTTGAAATAGAAATATAATCTTCGGCAACACGTTCATTTTTATTGTAGCAATATTCTTCCTAATATTGACAGCTGCAGATTTTTCCATCTTTCCAAGTCTAGCTTTATTTGCTTCAATAATTTTGTATAATTGTCTTCTTTTATTGACGAACACTTAGCTGAAAGATGAATACCTAAATATTTAACTTTTTTTTACTATTTGTACCTCTGTTTTACAGTGATGTTGTAACTTTGAATGATTGCTAAATGAATGGCTGTAAGTCAATAACTGCCTGTATCATTCTGTCTTCTCATACTTCTGCCTTGTTTTAAGGCAGGACCCCTCCCCCTCCTCCCCAGCCCCTTTGGAACAATGGCTGAAAACCTGGCATCCTCAAGATGTTAGTAAAGGTCCCAGCCTTTCCCAACAGAACTGACAGCAGTAAAAGAGGTTTAGAATTCTTGTTCCTTGTAACTTCTGCAAGGTCACAAACTCCTGTTCTGGTGTTAGATAGATGGATTAGCTACACAATGTATCTGAATAGGCATTGCTGGAAGGTGGCTATTACAAGGTCCTTATGCCCTGTACTGAAGTTTGTCTGTCTTTCAGGAAGGGCTTTCGGCAGAAACCACCTCCCATCCTCAAGTATTTGCAGGGTATCCTTCGCAAATACCCAGATGGAGGGCAGATATTAAAGGTGGGTTAGTAAGAGCTTTAAACACTGGATTTTTTTGTCTTTGGAAATATTGACACAGGAGTAGACTCTAGCTGCTTTGTTCGTTCATTCATTCATTGATTCATCATCACATTTATATAGCTGCTTGTCTCATAAATGTAATTCAATGTATATGCAAACTATTTTTCGTTTGTTTTGGTTAATTGGATGGTTAAATGCACCTATATGTGTATATGGGTAAGTGCCATATTGTATTTTGTTGCAAGGAACATGGTTTCTACTTTTAGAATATTCCACAATTTATTTATCAGCAATATCTAAGGAGCAGTTTTGTTTTCTACATGAAATAAAAGTAAGAAAAATGTCCTACATATATATACATGCATACACATGCTGTATAAAAAAGTAGGATGGTTAGAGGAGAAGGGGAGGGGAAGAGAATAGGAGGGGAGGAGAGAAAGAGGAGGGAAGTGGGGAAGGATTAGAGAGGGTGGACGCAGCCTGGGGGGAATGGGCAGGAGGTACCAATGGTTAGGAATTTATTTTATTTTGTATGAATAAATGGAAAATAAAAACTTTTTAATAAAAAAAAAATCACAGCACTTTTTATTTGTTCAAAAAAGATATATGAACATAAGTAATTAGTCAATTTGATAGTAATTTAGGTAATCTGGATAATTTGGGATTTACTGCTGAGTAAACATATATAATTATCTCTTTTAATTGATGTATTATTTCAACTTACCTTATAAAATTATTTGGAAACTATTGAGGGAATGATTAGAGTTGAAATATAGTTTGGCCACCTAATGAGAAGGAAGGACTCACTGGAGAAGGGCCTAATGCTGGGAAAGATTGAGGGCAATAGAAGAAGGGGACAACAGAGAATGAGATGGCTGGATGGAGTCACTGAAGCAGTAGGTGTGAACTTAAATGGATTCCAGAAGATGGTAGAGGACAGGAAGACCTGGAGGAACATTGTCCATGGGGTCGCGATGGGTCGGACACGACTTTGCAATTAACAACAATAATAACAACATACATGAAAATGGGGTGGGCAGACTCCTGAAAATTATACTTTCAGTTTACACCAGGAATTCTACTGTTGTGCTATTCATGCTAAAGGAAATGTTGACAACTACAGTTCCCACCCTCATGTAGATCAACAGGTTAGGGAAATCTGGTGTTTTGGGGATGGAAGCCATTTGTGTTAGATATATTTTCATTTATACCTTTTCATTTAGTTATATAATAATGTACAGGTAGACCCCATCTACTGCCTTCCTCGTTTCTCAGGTATCTAGCACTTCCTCTCAGATGAGTTTTACAGGATGGTGTATTCATAAAGGCACAGCTTAATGTTTACTAGCTTCATTGTCTACCTGAATCTGCCTCTGATTTTCTGCCTCTTCTCAAAGGAGCTGATCCAAAATGCAGATGACGCGGTTGCTGAAGAGGTGATTTTACTCTACGATGAACGGAGTTTTGGAACACAAAGTCTTTTCTCCGATGGACTGGCAAGCACCCAAGGTATTGAGCAGAACATGTGGAAGACTAAAAGCTGTTCACCTTCACCCAGAAATAATTCCAGCTGTCAATTGAGGGCTCCTGATGTTTGAGATCTGTGTTGTGTGCCTTGGGGTGCAAAATCCTGACACACAGGCCTATGATCCATACTGAACTGATAGAAGGAAAATTGGATATATTATAGCACAAGAAGATTGCATTATTATGGGGTTTAAGGAATATTTTTCCATTTCTTTTACTTGTACATTGGACAACAGGGCCCCCTGCACTTTCCAGGCAGCCAGGCCTGTTATCCCATTTAATTTGATGCTATCCTCCAGTGGTTCTTAATCTGTGGGTCGGGACCCCATTTGGGGTCGAACGACCATTTCATGGGGGTCGCCAAACAATGCAGTCCACCATTTTTCCCCCTTTTCCGTAGCTGTGCTACTCCCTTTTATTCTATTGGCTTTTGAAAGCCAATAGAATAGACTCTCTTGAATAGAGTCTAATTCTATTGGCTTTCAAAAGCCAATAGGAATTGTCCAGGCTGTCTCTGCCCTGCTGAGCCTGCCAAAAGTCCTATTCTGCAAACGGTGCTGCACCAGTTGAGTAGTCCTCAACTTACGACCGGTTGAGTAGTCCTTGATTTACGACCGGTTGGGGGTCGCGGCATTAAAAAAGTTGAGAACCACTGCTATCCTCCCTTCTTAGAAATAAAGAAATTGCATTTTTAAAAGCCTTGTATTTTAGAGACAGTCCTCGACTAATTTGAGCCCAAAATGTCTATCGCTAAGTGAGAGAGTTGTTTTGCCCCATTTTACGGCTTTTCTTGCCACTACTGAATCACTGCAGTTGTTAAGTTAGTAACAAGGTTGTGAATTGATTCTGGTCCCTCCGTTGACTTTGTTTGTCAGAAGATCGCAAGAGGTGATCACATGACCTGCACATCACATCATATGACACTGCAACAGTCATAAATATGAAACAGTTGCCAAGCATCTGAATTTTGATCACGTGACCACGGGGATGCTGCAATGATTATAAGTCTGAAAAACGGTCATAGGTCACTTTTTTCAGTGCTGTCGCTGTCGTAACTTTGAAACAAAAGGTTGTAAGCCGAGGACTACCTGTATGAATTCTCACAAGAGAATGTGGAAAATGAAACTGGATTTTGGGGGTTATTTCTATCGGGTTCCTCGTGGTCATCCTAATTTAAGATGTCTATGTGTACAGAAATCATCCCTCCATCCCCACATCATCCTTTGAGTTTGTCTTTATTGGACAAGTCTCTCTTTTTTGTTTTTCCAGAAGTCATTTGCCATTGATTCCTTAACTACCCGGCTGTACCAGTGTTATGTTTAGCCTACATCCAAATAACGTGGGTGATGCTTAGATCAAGAACACCTTCAGCTTGTAAAATCAATCTCATTTTATCAATCTTCGTTTACCAATGGCTGTTCTTCAGTTGGCTGAAAGGCAGTTTTTTGTTTTGGGCCTTGGGGCCAATCAAGATATTTCCATGTTGCTTTTGGCAGACAAGCATGTTTTTATTTCCCAAATGCTGAGACATTAGTTCTGCGATATGCATCACAGGGAGTTTGGGGCATAGGTTGTTTTTCCATTAGCAAGAACTCTTTCTCCACTCTGTCCTCTCGTGGCTGGCTTCCTAAGTGACCTTGCCAGTAAATCTTTTTAGAACACAGCCACGTGGCAGCAAGGAAAGAGTGTTTCCCCAGCGCAGGAGCTGGCAGAAAAGAACGATGATGTAAAGTGATGATGATATTTGCAACCCATATTCTGCCCATGCAGTGAATCCAAATAGGGGGTTCTGTCCTCAAATGCAGAAAGGGAAGGGTGGGGGGAATACCTCATTTGGTATGCAGTTCCTGGCCACAGAAGACTGTTTCCAGGAAGCTGGTGAGATTAGAGGTCTGCCAGCAAGACTCATTCTCGGCTTATTTCTCATGCTGCTTTTGGTCAGTTTCCCATTCTCATGGTGTCATCACTTCCTGGGATCAGAGAAATGGCCACAAAAGAGCCATTCTCCCTTCGGGGGAGGAAAAAAAGGAGGAAGCAGGGGATCCTGGTGCCAGTTCTTCCAGCACCAAAAAGACCACCTCCCCACACCCAGTATAGAGATTGGTAAATTGCAGGGGTGGGGAACGATGGCCCTTTTTACTCGTGGACTTCAATTCCCAGAAGTCCTCAGCCAGCTATGCTATGCTGGCTCAGGAATTCTGGAAGTCAAAGTCCAAAAGTCATAAAGGGGCCATCATTCCCCACCTCTGCTGTAATGGAATGCATGGGTGACCTTGGGAGAAGAGGAGAGAGTCTGCCTAGGAAACAATCGGATAAGAGGGGCAGAAGCCTTCAGTTGCTTTAAGAGTTGCAGCAGTGGTTCTCAACCTATGGGTCGGGACCCCATTTGGGGTCGAATGACAATTTCATGGGGGTCACCAAACTATGCTGTCCGCCATTTTTTTCCCTTTTCCCTAGCTGTCCTACTCCCTCTTATTGGTGACCACACCCACTTGGGGGTCACCGCAACATGGGGAACTGTATTATGGGGTCACGGCATTAGAAAGGTTGAGAATCACTGAGTTGCAGGAAGAAACTGAGGAAGGACCTGACAGTTAAAATGGATCAAGCAGTTAAAAGTGGTGGGTGGGAAGATTGTACTTTTCAGACTTCTGTTAGTGTAGCCCTACAGTGAAGTAGACTTAGTTCATCTAGTCCTGTTTCCTGTCTGGTTTTACCTGGGAGCGTTGGCAGTAGTTGAAGAGTTGCTGTTTCCTTTCCCAGGCAGATTGCAGGTCTGCAGTAGGTAGCCCCACAAAATAGCTGCCCACAGCTTTAGCAGCAGGACTCCAGAACTACTGGTATATGAGAATGACCTTGAGAGAGGGAAAGAAGAGATGTTGCCTAGGACATGATCAGATAAAAGAGGGTATAGTCCAGAGCTGCATAAGGAGCGGAGAAAGAGACTCAGAAGAGCCTCTCCCCTAAGGCTACAAAAGAGACAGCAGGAGACTTGTATTTTCAAAGTAGCAGGATTCTGTTAACTTACCTTTACAATAAACTAGGCTTAGCTCATCTGGTCATGTTTCCTGTCTAGCCCACTTGAGAATGTTGACAAGAAAGGGTTTTTGGAGGCTAATTGTATCTCTGAGTTAACTAGTTGGGTCCACAATTCAGGTTTTGATGCAAGTAGTCTTCATTTAACATCCACTCTTTCAGCAACTCTTCAAATTTACAGTGATGCTGAATGAGTGGTATTGAATGACCAGAAAAGATTGCAAACCTTGAGAAAAGGGGGAATGTGAGAAAGAAAGTCAAAATAACCATGCCTTGATGTTGTTTATTATAAGGTGGGACAGAGAGAAACTTGGATAAACTTTCAAGAGTCTGACTCTAGTCTATCTTACTATAATTATTTATTCCTAAAATCCCAACCTTGTCGTTTTTTTATTTGCTCTGCCTTGAAGGGCTAATAAGATACCACCAGGCTACAAAATTGGTTTTTTTCATTATCTCAGCTATGAGTGGGAATTTACAGACAGGAAGAATTATGTATGAATGTATGTATGTATGCATGGCATGCACACTTCTATGCTGTCCATCTTTCCTAGAAGCAACTCTAGGTGGTTTACAATCATAAAAAAGATAAAACATGGAAACAATAAATATTAACGCTCAAATTAATTTAAAATTGACAAGGTGGGAAGGAAGGGAGCAAGATGTGTATGGGGAGGAGGTAGAGCTCTCTTTGTCCATTAACCATTTCCAGAATCAGCCCCCATCAGGGCCCAAGCCAGTTGGCAGAGCCAGGTCTGGAATTAAACTGGCAACTAGTGCAGCTCAAGGAACAGTGGTACGACATGGGCCACTCTAGGGACCCCACATACTATTTGCATGACTGCATTCAATGCCAGTTGTAACTTCCAAATATTCTTCAAGGGTAGCCCCCTGTAAGGCACATTGCAATAGTCAATGTTTTGTTGGCACTAGGAAGCATTCTCTTCAGAGATCAACCGCAACTTTTGCAAAAAGGTCAAACATAGCATAGCCGGGAAGCATGGGTGTGTGCAGCAGTAATTAGAGGGGGGTTTCTTACTCCAGGAGCTGCTGTTGTTCAGGAGTGGAGCCTTGACTGAATGACAGTTTTTGTTCTCCTGCGATTGGTTGGAGGTAACACTAACTGGCCTATTGGAATTCTCTGCAGACTCCCAGTATTTGGAGGTTGGTGGAAATAAAGAAGAGGAGTGCATGGGGTAAAGAGACTGGAAAGTGGCAAAAGTGGACTGGGAGAGTGGAGTGGAATGGAATGGAATGGAATAGAATAGAATAGAATAGAATAGAATAGAATAGAATAGAATAGAATAGAATAGAATAGAATAGGACTTTATTGTCACTTATCAGCATACATTAAAATAAAATTTTGTTGCATTCAGCTCCCAAAGGATAACCACTTCCAATATACACTGCATAAACATGACAAAAATTATGCTTATACCACATACACACACATATATGATACAGAGAAACAACACAGTCTAGTTCAGATGTACACATATACATGGCGAGAAAAAATAGATGTCCTTTGCAGGTGGAATACTACAAGGAATAAACTCTCTTTTATGACCCTGTAATCCCTCGTGTTAAAAAAGGAATATATGTAGTCCATGTTTTTCTTTCTTAGGACCTGCACTTCTGGCTTACAATAATGGCATTTTCTCTGAGGATGACTGGGAGGGGATCAAGAGTCCCGGCATCAGTCATAAGGAAGATGATCCATCTACTGTTGGTAGATTCGGCTTAGGCTTCAATTCTGTCTATCATATTACTGGTGAGTAGTTCTGCACATCTTGATTCAGGAGAGAGCAAATTTCAAAACCGACACACATTTCTGAAAACATTTCTTGGGCATAGTTTTTTCTTTTACCTCCACTGCCAAAATTCTGAAGTATTTCAAGAAAATGGAATTCTGTGCTTTGTATATATGAAATCCAGCAAGACACATTCCTGATATTTTAGATAAGGGAGGAGTTTTGTCAAAAGTATCCACATTGCCTTAATTTAAAACCAAACAAATCACATTGTGCCACCTGATTTATCAACCGTGGCTTATCATTTATTGTTTTGCACAAATCCAGCCAATTGTAGCATACTGTGAATGTAATAAGTGTGGTTTAGCGCAGTAAGGTTTGTATAGGTCACTAAGCCTTGATGTGATTTGCGAGGTTTGATTTAACCCAGAGGAATGGCTGCTAGAACCTAATGTGATATGTGAACATCCAATAAAGTGAAGATACTCTGGAACATTGTTGCTTAACCTTGACAATTTTTTTTATTAAAAGTTTTAAAAATTTCATACAATACATCCCAAATCCCTCCCACCCCTCCCCCGTTCCCCCACTTCCCAGAGCTGATTACAGGGTTACAAATAAACAAACATAATTTAACTAACATTACCCGATTATACTATCAATCAAATCCATAACATACTTTAACTCCTTTTCAAAATAAATATTAACAAATTAAAAACAAAAATAATAATATAATTAAACCATAATACTAAAAATAATATAAATTCAACCATATTAAACTATTAATAATAATCTAAAATTTACTCAAAAGCAAGATAATACTTTTCAGTCTCATATTTCTTTTGAATATAATCAATCCATCTTCTCCAAACCGAAATATATTTTTCTTGTGAATAGTCCTTCAAATAAGCAGAGATTTTTGCCATTTCTGCTAAATTAGACACCTTAAGTATCCATTCTCCCATAGTAGGCAAATAATTTTTCTTCCAATATTGCCCCACCAGTAATCTTGCAGCTGTTATAAGATTCAACATCAAATTAATTTCTTTAACATCAAAATCTACAATAATACCCAACAAAAAAAATTGCGGCGTAAACTTTATCTTTCTCTTAAAAATCTTTTGAATATTCCACCAAATCTTAATCCAAAAAGCTTTTATGTCTCTACAAGTCCACCAAATATGAAAATAGGTTGCATCTAAACTTCCACATCTCCAACATTTGGGCTGTAAATTAAGATACATGCAGGACAGCTTTTGAGGATCCAAATGCCATCTATAAAACATTTTATAGAAATTTTCTCTTAAATTTTGAGCTTGAGTAAATTTTACATTTCTAATCCAAATTGTCTCCCATGTGTCCAATAAAATCGGCTCTTGAATATTTTGAGCCCATTTTACCATACAGTCTTTAACTAACTCCATTTCAGAATCCAATTCTATTAAAACATTATAAATTCTCTTTATATGGGCTCGAGTTTGATCTTTAATCTGTTTTACCAAATTCACATCCTCTAAAGTAATACCAACTTTTTGATCTAAACTCCACCTCGACAATTTTAACATGTGTGGATTTCAATTCACAGAATTATGGGAGTTGAAGTCCACACATCTTAAAACTGGAAAGGAAACATTGTTGTAGGGTGAAATTCAGCTCTGCTGAGTGCATTTGCTCTTTGCTTAGCAACAATCCAATGCTGGTTGCCCTTTGCCATTCCCTGCCATTTTCAACTTTGTTTTACACAATATTGTCCCTCTGCAATCAGTTGGTTGTTCTTGGGGTACATTGCCTGGTTATCTGGTCTACGACATTAATATTTTCTGGTGGTCCAAGTATTAATCAGGTACAACACTGTTAAGATCCAAGATCCAAGTGGCTACTATTGACTAATACGGACTGAAATAAGAGAGGAGGAAAGTAATTGAAGTAGGAGTGCTCACCGCATGTTTGTGAAGCTAAATTTTCCTTCTCATCCTTCAGATTTTCCATCAATTCTCTCTGGTGAATTTTTGGGAGTGCTGGACACACAGCAAATAGCACTTGAGGAAGGAGGTCAGCTGTGGAATATAGAGGAATGGGAGGAGGCATCTGATCAATTCCAACCATTCTGGGCAACACTGGAATCCCTTGGTAAACCCTGCCCAGCAGTCAAAGGCCACTTCCCTGGCACCCTCTTTCGCTTTCCTATTCGGCAGAGCCCCTCCAAGATCTCAGACAACATCTACAGTGCACAACGGGTGCAGGAACTGCTGCGCTCATTCTTAAATGATGCCCCCATTAGCTTGCTGTTTCTCAGGAACATCCAGAAAGTGACCCTGGGCATGGTTGGGTCCGACGGTGCCATTTGTGAGCTGCTAAAGGCTGATGTCTCAGCTCGTCCATATTGTGAGTCAAATGCCGTTCAAGACGTTCAAAAACCAATCAAAGCATCTCTGAACCAGGGTAGAAACAGAAGTATCTCAGAAATATTTGCTGATTACAATCTTGGCGCCACACTGGAGACCAATGGCTGCATCAAAACACTTGCTTTACAAGGTAGTGGGGTTGCTAAAGCCACCAGCTGTGAGTGGCTCATATTGTCAGCAGAAGCAAAAAAAAATGCTCTCCGGGGATTGTGGGACCTGGCTGAGAAGGTGAGATCCACACCAGCATTATCCTTGGCCTACTGTTTGCAGGACAGATGCACCGGCCGCCTTAGCTGTGTCTTGCCTCTCCCAGCCACTGAGGAAAACGTCACTGGATTGCCACTGCACATCAGTGCTCCCTTTCAACTCACTGATGACAGGAGGCATGTGCAGTGGTCTGAGGAGGGGTCCCAGGCACGGGGGGCTGAGGGCCGTTGGAACCACTTACTTATGGAGGAGGTACTGCCTGTTGCTTATTGCCAAATGGTGGTGCTGGCCTCCTCCTGTCCTGGTGACCCATATGGGGCATGGCCAGACCCAACTCATAGCCAACAACTCCGGTACAAGCCTCTAGTAACTGAAATATGCCAGAGATTAAGGAACATGAAACTCTTGGTGAGGGTTGGAGAGGGGGACCCTCGCTTGCTCCATCCTTCTGAAGCCATCCTTTTGCCAAAGCCAGTCTTGGATAAGCCCATAGGCCCAGTGCTGGAGAAGGCCCTCCTTTTGGCAGGATCACCGCTGGTAGCAGCCCCTCCTCATGTGCGTCAAGCCTTGGTGTTGGGTGCAAAAGATGGGACAGTAGTGCAGGAGGCCACATCCAAGTTTGTGGGAGGGGCACTGCAACGTGCTGCCAACATCTGGAATTGGCTCACAGAGTCTGAGAAAAAGTTGTTATTGGAATATTTGGTTGAAGATGGGTGTTACCTGGAACTGAAGGATCTGCCCCTACTTCCAACAGCCAATGGGCACTATACCTGCTTTGGAGATGCTGGAGAGACCGTATTTATTGAGAATCCTAACTTTCCCAGGTGAGCAGCCTCCCCTCATTCCCTCCCCAAAATAGTCTAATTTTGTCTTCCCTTTCTTCCTCCTTCAGCATACTGTACCTCCTGATTTGATTATCTGAATTTAGTCAGGCTTGAACATCTGTTAAGGTAGAAATTCAAAATGCTTTAACTATAAAGGGAAGCAGAACTTTACTGATTTGTTCCAGAACCGCTGAAGGTCAGCGTCAAGAGATGCATTTAGAGATGTCACACTCTAAATCTTGGACTGAACATACCTTTATTTCCTAAGACATCTTATGTTCTAGGGCTAGGCAAAGAAAATTAAATAGAAAGCTGCATCACTTTTTAGTCTGTATTTTGCCAAATAGACCGGTTACCATACTAAAAAAGTAAGAATGGTTGTTGACTTGTAGAAAATGTTTGTTTGTTTCGAAAAAGATGGAAGAAATTATTCATGGTAACAGACATCATCCAGGGAGATGGCAGTGAGAGTGTGAAGAATTAAGCTTGGAGTTTGCTAAATAAACCAATTGCCTTAATATTTGATGGGCCTGTGTAGTATTTACAACCTTAAAATATATAGAGTAAGATCCATTTTATTAACCTTCTCAGTACTTTGTAGTTTATTTATGGATCCTTTCTCTTGGTTTTGCAGAATTCTTTTGCCTGGTTTGGCCAACCAATTTCTTCCCAAAGATCTAACTCCTGTGTTGCTGAACCATTTGCAAGCAATTGCCAAAAAAAGTAAGCTGTTATCTTTCCCTTATGTGAGCCCCTCAAGCAAGGGAGGGTAATGGGCTGTGAGAATAACCTTGAGGAACGGAAAGAAGAGCCACAACTAAAACAACAGTAGTGTTGTCTTCGGTTGTGGCTCTCCTTCATGTGTATGTTCAAAGTAATTGTTCCATCCCATTAGAGTGGCTGGAAGCAGGCTTATCCAGTTGATTGCAACTTCTACTATCTCAGTGGGATACTGGTTGCAGAGGATGGAGTTAATTGAATATATCTGAAGGACAATATGATTGGGTCTTAGCATGTCCATGTAGACACATAGCAGCTAGCTGCTCTCTGAGAACAGACTATACCCTAGAACAGACATGTCAAACTCGTGACGTCACGCAACGTATCGGGATGGTTTTGGCAATGGGGTGGGCGCAGCTTCTGAATGACATGTCTGGCCCGCAGGCCGGCAGTTTGACACTCCTGCCCTAGAAGAAGGATAGTGAGCTTTTCCATATTGCAATTGCTAATCAGGTAGGATACACCTGACTTACTGGTGCAGTTAAAAGGGAAAAGTCGTTCTCCTCCTTTTTGGTTTTAATTTATGGTTCTGTAAAGCAAAGGGTAGGAGGAGGATTCGTCTTCTCGAGATTCAGGATTTTCTTCCAATAGAAAACAAAGGGCAAATGCAATTTTCTCCCAAAGGAAGTCAAAGACTTTTTTTGTCAGTTGTAGAGTAAACGAGACGTTTTGACTTCTGGCCACAAAAGTGCCTTCAGAGGTCATTTGAGTATGTAAGACTATCTGATCTGATTTGGATCAGGCACAGAGTGCATGTAATAGAGCTACTCACTGCAAAGTCTGAAAAGTAACCTTTCCAACTAGAATCGTGGCTTGAACCTAAGTCTCCTTGCTTCTAGACTAACATTCCAATAGTGTGTCGGCATTCTCTTGTTAGAATCATCAAATGCAATTAGCTAGAAAATTAGTATGGTACCTCTGGAAGAGAATATTTGTAGCTCAGGGTTGGGGGCCTTAGTGCTGAGGGGTTCTTGGTGCACTGATGAAGTTACCTAGTTGGGTAATGGAATGTCTGCAAGAAAACAATCATGTTCAGAGATCTCCAAGGACCCCACAACAGCATGATCTCAAACCATTCAGAGACGTTTGCGATATAGCCTTTAGCACAGATCAAAAATATTTCCGTAAATCTTTAGCTCCAACAGAGATATCGCAAAGGTGCTTTTTCAAAAGGCAACTGAACTTTGTTTTCTCTTTGAGGAATATATTTTGCTACTCATCCAAGAAGCTTCATCAGTTCTGATTGGATGGTGGGGGGAATGGAAGGATTAGTTCTGAAGAGAGACTATCCAGTCAGAACTAACTCTAAGGTCAGAACTGGTCTTTTTATCCCCCCACCCTCCAGTCAGAACCGATGAAGCTTCTTGGATGAGAAGCAAAACTTTTTCCTCAAAGAGAAAATGAAGTGTAGTTGCCTTTTGAAAAAGGACCTTATGACTGAGAATCTCCAAAGACATTCCTCCAACAGAGATGCACAAACATTGGTACTTGATCCTTGTGTCTTTCCTGTCTCTCTAGGGTTATTCAAAAATCTGGTCTCCTTGAATCAAGCCATCATTGAGAAGAATCTTCCCAGAGCTCTCCCGAGAGGTTGGGTCAGCAGCAAATCTGTTCCTGTTATTTGGAGCCCCAGTGCGTATCCTGGCGAACCTCCCCTTGAGTGGATTTCCGCTTTCTGGACTTTCCTGGCACACCATGCCTCTTCCCTGGAACCCTTTGAGGGATGCCCGATAATACCACTGACGCCTCTGTATAATTCTCTCAATGGCATTCAGTTGGCTCGACTTTTGCCCCAACCCACCCTCATATTCCAAAGGCATAATGGGCACTGTTTGCCAGACGCAGTGGCTAAAATTTTGGAAGTGTTGGGCTGCACCGTGATCCAGAAGTGGGACTCCAGTTGGTCCCACCACCAACTAAAAGAATATGTTCTAGAACCCACACCTAGCAATGTCCTGCAAGTTTTTGTCCATCTGGGAGTAGCAAATGTAACAAACCACCTGACATTTTTGTCCACCTGCCAGATTGAAAGCTTGAGTGCTTTTCTCTCTACAGCTGTCTCATTCTCTCAAAAAGATATCGGAGTCCTCACTAAATTGCCACTCTTCTTCAAGATGCCTTCTCTTCTTCCACCTTCCAAGGCAGCCTTGGTATCAGCCCAGGATTATTTGGCTTTAGAAAAGACCTTGGTTCCACCAGTGCCTACAAATCTCTTGACTCCAGAGCCTGTGCTCTTGTGTCGCAATGAAGCTGAACGATGCTTGCTCTTCAAAATCCGCAGAAAGCTTCTGGGGACGCCGGATCTGTGCTTGCTGTGTGTCCGAGCAATGAAGAAGGGGTCCTATGCCAATCGGACTGAGGATGCCAAGCAATTCATGTTGTGGTTATTGCGCAATGGAGATACACTTTTTAGCCAGAGCCAAGAATTACAAGCTTTGTGCCACGATCTTCCATTTGTGGATTGCGGATCAACAGAATTGCTTCGTCCCTGTCATCTCTACGATCCAGAGAACAGCACATTGCTGGCTTTATTAAGACCGAGCCATTTTCCCAAAGGGCCCTTTCAGGAGCAAGCAATGTTGCGAATCCTTCGTACGCTGGGTCTGAAATCAGATCTTAGTGCTGTCTCTCCAGCAGATGCAATAACTGCTGCAAGGGAAGTGGCTGTAAGTGAAATGGCAACTGCCAAGGCCAAATCCCAGGCCCTTATCCGGGTTTGCAATGAGAGTCCCCTACTGTCACGTTTATCTCCTGAGATGCTGAAGCAGCTGAGGTCCTTGCCTTGGGTTCCTGCCATCAATTCCTCTAAGCTTGGGCCAGCTGGAGTCTTCCTAGCACCTGAATCAATTCGTTCAGAGAGGTATGCAGGTCTTGTAGGACAGGTCATGGGACTGACAAATGCTTTTTGGGCCCACGCTGCAGAAGAATTGGGCCTGGAACGCTTACCTCCTCCAGAAAAGGTGATGGAAAACTTAGCTGACCTGGTACAAGCCTATTGCCCTAAAGAGACACCCCTGTTAACTGCAAAGTTGCGTAGCATCTATCAACACATGCAACAGCATCTCTTCGATTTCCCGCATCCACCCACGTACACTTCAGTGTGGAATGGGAAGGGCTTCTCGTGCCCAAAAGACGTGGTACTGTCCTTTCCTAATGATTTGGACTTTGCACTCCTAATGCCACGAGTTCCTCCGGATTTCCAAGACTATAGGCAGCTTTTTGCAAAATGGGGTGTCCAGCAGTCACCCAGCGAGAAAGATGTAGACCAGGCTCTTCGTAAGCTGGCAGAACAAATCAATGCCAGACCAAAAGGGGGTACACAGGCTGAACTACTCCTCTTCATAGCTGTTTTGGACTGGCTTAGCAATCAAGGTCACCATGGGGAAGAGGAAATGCTTATACCGGTGCAGATCGTAGGTTTGGTTGGTTTTGCTCTTCGCCCTGCCAGTTCAGCACTGTATTGTGACATGGATCGTGCCCATCTTGCTGATTTGGGTGGAGACCTACCCATTTTGGTGCATGAAGCGGTTTCTTCTGCCACAGCTGCTTTCTTTGGGGTGGAGATGATGAGTACCAAGTTGTCAGGCTTAGAACTGTTTGAGGCTTGGGGGCCTTCAGAGCCCATCACTCTCCGGATCCGTAACATCCTTCGGGAGTACAGCCAGGATGCTGATGTGTTTCAGGAACTGCTGCAGAATGCCGAGGATGCCAGTGCTAAGACTTGCCACTTCTTAATAGACCTCCGGCAGCATGACGCTACTAAAGGACTTCTGGATCCTGGCATGGCTACTTGCCAAGGCCCGGCCCTTTGGGCCCAGAATGATGCACTGTTTACTGAGGCAGATTTCTCCAACATTACCCAACTAGGTGCAGCCACCAAGGAGCACCAGGAGGACAAGATTGGTCGCTTTGGCCTAGGTTTCTGCACTGTCTATCATATGACTGATGTGCCTTTCCTTCTCAGTGGTCACACTGTCCTTATCTTTGATCCCAATATCACCCATCTCCGAAAACATATCCATAGTTCAGCCCGACCAGGCATCCGTTTGAATTTGACCTCCAGAGTCGCTGCTTCATTTCCAGAGCAATTTTGGCCTTTCAGGGGAATATTTGGATGTCGAATTGGAGAGAAATAACAAGGCACTCTGATCCGTTTGCCTTTCCGCACTGAACAGGAGGCCAAAGAATCTCAGATATGCCCTGAGCCATTTGGACCCAGCCGGATCAAAGGACTAGAAACTGGTTTCCAGGAGATGTCCCAGTACCTGCTGATTTTCTTGCATAATGTGCAGGAGGTATCACTCTCCTGCCTTGCACAGGGTTTCAGTTCTCCAGAGGTTGTGCAGCCACTGGCAACAGTAAGCCGAGAAGTACTGAATGAGATGGGCTTTGCCCTTATACGATTGAGAACAACTTGGCAATCAGTTGTGGATATCCACCATTTTCTGCTTCATGCATGTTCAGCTGGTGGAGAAGCTGAGGAAATATTCAGAAAGGGAAGAAAAAGGGGTATCCATTTCTTGCCTCCTTCTGCTAGGGTAGCCTTACCACTCCGCCCTAGTACCACCATTGGACGATGGCTCCCGGATATACGTGGTTTTAAAGGCCATGTCTTCTGTTTCTTACCTCTTCCCATTGAATCAGGTCTCCCACTGCATCTCACAGCTCCCTTCGCTGTGCTTAGTAATCGCAAAGGACTCTGGGATACCACAGAAAAGGGCCAGTGGAATATAGCACTGCTACGAGATTCAGTGACAGCTGCATGGCTTGGGGCACTAAATCAGCTCCGACACATGTACAAACAAGAACTGCTGGAGGACTACGAGTATTATGATTTTTGGCCTGATATATACAGTACCAAATATCCTTTCACTGAAGCAGCCAAAGCCTTCTATCAAGCGCTAATCGATGGAGTAAACGGGGAGCAGCCAGTTCTCTTCTCTGATGGACAAAAATGGCGCCCACTTAATCATGCTTGCATTTTGGATGATGATATCATTTGCGAGACACAACTGAGTTCTATAGCAGTGAGAGCCTTCTCGTTACTCTTACCAGAACCACAGATTGTAGTGCTTCCTGGGAATATGCGTAAAATCTGCTGCCCCAGTGAGATTTACTACCACAAGCTGAATTCCTTAGTACATTTGATTGAACCAATCCTGGACAAGGAAGCCCTTGGGGGAAACTCCAAGCTCTCTAAGGAGATAATGGAATTCCTAGGAGTGAAATGCAAACCATCTGTAACTACAGTGCTAAAGCAACTGGAGAAAGCATCCTTTTGTTCCAATGCTCTCTCCAAAAAAAAGTTGGCTAAGATGGTCCAAAATTGTTATGCTTTTCTCAATGATGCAGTCCAGAACAATGAAAGTAGGGTAGAGATAGCGCAAAAGGCACAGACATTCCCCTTCATCCTGGTCAGTGTTGGCTTTGTGCCAATATGTAAAGTGTCTCACAATCTGGCTTTCGACGCTATTCCATATCTCTTCAAATTGCCTGAGGAGTACTGGCAACAAAAGAATCTGTGGGAGTGTATCGGTCTACGTGATGTATTTACCTTGGATGATTATGCTTCTGTTCTGGAAGCCCTGGCTGAAAATACAGCTGGACAGCCACTTTCTGTAGAAAAACTAGAAATTGTACTTAGGTTGATCACTGCAGGACTTGCTGGAGTTTTGCCAGAAAATCAACAACTGGATTCTTATTTGTCCCAGAAAATGTTTTTCCCAGACCAGGACAAAGTCCTACGACAATTGCCTAAGCTGTTGTTTGATGATACTCCATGGCTCCCACGTGAGAGTGGAACACCATTTTGCCATAGTATGATTCCACGGGAAATTGCTGTGCGCTGTGGCATATCGACCAAAAAGCACCGTATACTGTCCAGGTTACGGATTCAGAAACTTTCTCTTTGGGGCACAGATTTTGGAGCTAAGGAGGACTCTTGTACCCGCCTATCTAACATCCTTCGGGAGTATTCCTCTTCACAGGATGTGCTGAAAGAGCTGCTGCAGAACGCTGACGATGCTGGTGCGAGTGTCATCCATTTCCTTTGGGATCGCCGCCAGCATCCAACAGAGCGTGTTTTCAGTGATGACTGGAAGTCTCTTCAAGGTCCAGCCCTCTGCATCTATAACAACCGGACCTTCCAATTGAGCGATATTGAGGGGATCCAGCGCTTAGGCCATGGTGGCAAAAGAGGAAGGTGGGATGCTACAGGAAAATATGGTCTGGGATTCAACACTGTTTACCATTTGACAGATTGCCCTGCATTTGTCACAGGGAATAGAACACTATGTGTCTTTGATCCCACATTGCGTTATCTCCCAGAGTCTGATGAGGTTTCACCTGGTGCACAGTACAATCTCACAAAAGGTTTCAGAGAGGCCTTTTTGAATATTTATGACACCTTTTTGCCTGATGTGTTTGAGTTGGAACAGGGCACACTTTTCCGGTTGCCCCTGCGTACTCCTGCAGGGGAGAACCTCTCTCCTATTTGTCAGAAATCAGTGTCTGAGATAGATATGGAGAATATGTTGGAAGCTCTTAAAGAAGACGCAGAATGTCTCATGGTGTTCCTCAATCACATTCGCACTGTAATTTTCTCTGTTATGGGTGAGGAAGACAGGAAACCCAAAGAGTTATTGCGGGTTGAAACTGAAGGAGGGGAACCTGGAAGGCTCGAGTACCAGAAACATCTGCAGCAGAGAGCTGCAGCAGGAGGCCTGGAGATGAGCAAACCAGTAACCGTCTTCTACAAAATGAAGATCAGCACTAATCTCTTGCGTGATCCCAGCATCTGGTGGGTTGGAAGGCAAATTGGAATGGACAGCCCAGAGACCATAGAGGGCATGCTACTGCCATATGGTGGTGTAGCTGTTTGTCTTAATAGACAAGTGTGTGGGAGGGCTTTCTGCACATTGCCCCTGCCAGGAAGGACAGGCCTTCCCATCCATGTCAATGGGAACTTTGATGTGGATTCAGCTCGGCGTGACTTAAGGAAAGATAGCAGTGAAGGGGATGTCAGTTCAACCTGGAATAGGTTAGTCATGCAATATCTGCTGGCCCCTTTATATGGCCAGTTACTTAAAAACCTGTGCCAGACATTTGGGAGGGAACCACTGAAATTTCATACTCTGCAGAAATGCCATGATCAACTTGCTCAGAAGTATTTGCAATATTTTCCAATTGTGACCAAAGATGTATCCCCTGTTTGGCAGCAGCTGGTAACCCATCTGTATAAGCTGATGCATAAAGACCAGCTCCCATTGTTGCCAGTTTATCAGAAAAATGTTAATTACAAAAAAGCCCGTAGAATTGAAACAATAAGGGTGTGTTGGAGTGCACCCAAAGAAGAGGATTCCACCAGAGGCCCCTATTTCCTGAAGAATACAATAGAGGATAAAATTCTTGAGCGCACTCTTCAGGAGCTGGGCATGAGCTTGGTCCCTGCCTTTGAACAACTACAAGAGATACATGACCAATTTGTTATGGCGGAAATTGATGTACTGACTCTCGATTCTCCTTCCCTCTGTCATTTTTTGAAGAGTGTGCTCAACTTCTTACCATGCTCACTAAATCAAACTCCTGTAAAGAATCGTTGCATTTGCTTTGCTCTCCTAACCTTTTCTCTCAGTGGACTGTGCTCTGATGATGTGAATTGCGTGGAAGGACTTCCATTACTGGTGACTAATGATAATGTGCTGAGATGTTTCAGCCAACAAGAACCTGTTTATCAGAAGACCAGTGCTTCTGAGCTTTTCCCACATCGTCAGCATTGTTTTTCTGCCTTTGCAGATTGCAATCTGAATCAGCTTCTATTAGAAATGGAATTCCTGAAGAAGTTTACTTTAGATGAATCTGTGGCTTACATACAAGAGATGTTGACACTGGATAGCTGGGGTAATGATAGCAAACGCCAGAAGAGTTGGTTAGGGAAAGTGTGGAAGTTCTTTGAAAGTCAAATCTGTGAGACACAGAATAAGGAAAAAAGGAACGAGCTATTTGCAAAGCTCATTTCCCTCTTCAAAGGATGTACTCTGCTCCCTGTCTATGGTTCCAGTATGTTGATTCCTCTTGAATCCCTTGGTACGTTGATACCTAATAACTTAAGCCCAGTTTGTGAAATTCTTCATAAGCTGGGCTTTGCCAAATTAGATAAGTCCCTGTTGCCTCCAGAGTTGACTGTATACTGCATCAGTCCAGAGCTACTGAAGATCGAAGACTCTATAGAAGTGCTGGAGCAACTGTCTACCCACAGTAGCCTATGCTGGAATGAACTTGAGTCACTTGATTATGATATACTCTTGAGGTTTCTCTGTGAGGATCTGGGAAAGTTAAATAATCAAGCATTATTAGCAAAACTGAAAGCTTTGCCTGTCTTTGAGACATATCAAGAAAAATATGTATCCCTAGTTTCATATGATAAAGTCTATCGTCTGGTATCCAAAAATCCAAAGCTCTGTAAGAACTTTTTGGAACTTTATGAATTGGATGGAAGGACTGTTTTACTCAAGGACACCAGTTGGAATCAAAAGTTGAGCAAGTGCTTTGGTATTGGAGAAATGAATGATTTGCAACAGTTTATGCTACTTTTACCTCAGATACCCAGTCTTCCTGAGGCCAAAGTACTGGAAGCCTTGAAGTTACTCTTCAACATCAAGTTACACTATGATGAAGAGTATGAGACCCAGAAACCAGTTGTGGTGTCAAGATTCAAATCCTTTGCCTTCATTCGGGATGAGGAGAATGTGTTGCGTCCTGTATCATACTTCTACCAATATCAGAATGATACAATTTTTCAAGAGTTGGGATTATGCTCTCGATTTGTACCAGAGGAATTCTATGATTCAATGCGTCCAATCAATATGTTTGAAGTGAACATGTTTTTATTGGATGTGGGTTTGCAGGAGGTGATTTCTGAGGAAGATTTTTTGAAATGTGCTACCCAGGTTGAACGAGAGGCATTTGGCAGCGGTTCCACTTCTGAAAGTGTCCGAGGAAAAAGTAAAGCACTCTTGAAATATCTATTTTCCAGAGCAAAAGATGAACTGTCTAATTCCTTCCTGGCAAAATTGTCCAAGCTCCGTTTCCTTGTACCACGTCTCCTCCCTGATAAACTGTGTAGCCTTCACACGCCATATGCCCCTTGCAGATCTCCAGTGGCACCCCAAGGTTCTTTGTACTGTTCAAAAAATGTTGCACTCTTTTGGACTTCAGCAGTTGCTTTCTCTTTTAAGGACCATGTTGGAAAAGAAGGTAGGGATGTTTTAAAAAAACTTGGAGTGATATGCACAGTACCTACCGAAGTGGTCTTGGAAAATTTGAGCAATGTCTGTCAAGTAACCTGTGATACCCTAGAAAATAAGGAAACTCGGGCAGAAGTTCTAAAATGCATGTACAAATTCCTGTCAGAACAGGAAGAAATAGATGTGAATTCCCTTAAAGGCCTTCCTGTGATACTGACAGATGATAATGAAGTAGCTACGGCAGAAAATGTGGTGGTCCATTTGCAACACTCAAATGACTTTCGGCCATACATGTACATGCTGCCATCTAAGTTAGGGGGTTGTATAGATGTCTTTGAAAAGTTGGGAATGCAAACTGAGCCAACCATCTATCATTATGCCAGTGTTCTGGCCAGGATCCAAGAAGAGACTACAGAACGGATGAAACTGCAGGCCAATCTTACTAAAGCAGTGCTCAGGGCCACTCAGTTTCTCTTCCATCTGTTGGAAGAAGCAAAGGAGCCAGTGGATTTCTCAAAGCTGCAAGAACTTTATCTCCCTTGCATTGATGGGAAGCTATATCCATCAAACACTTTAGTATTTAGTTTCTACCAATCTGGCCAAGAACCCCTTGCTTTGAAAAACACACTTCGCTTTCTGGTTGATCTCTCTGAATGTTCCATATCAGCGGACAAGTATAAGCAGTGGAAACTTCTGCGCTTGCTACCTGAAAATCTGCACCCCAAGAATTTGGATAACATTGTTGAAGAACAACTAGAAGAGACCTCTCTGACACTGTGCATGTATCGGGAATACTGTGAGTTTCAGAACAGTCTCAAAGAACTTCTGGTTTCTCTTGATTTCCAGAATGCGCTGATTGCACTACTGAAATGGCAGAGTAAAACGGAAGAGATAGAAGACATAAATGACGGACTCTTCTCTCCAGATCAGCTAGAAGTGGTGTGCTGTGAAAAGCTCTGCATTGTAATGGTCTACAACCTGCAACTTTTAGGGGAAACTGAACGTGTCAAGACAGTGCATGTTGCAACAACACCAGATGGCAAGACAAAGATTTACCTTACTCACCAGGAAAGCATGAGTCGGCAAGAGGGAATACATATTTTCTCAACTCTAGCCATTGAAATTAATAAGCTTTTGGGAGAAAGACTTCAGCCAGAAGCTATGGGGATCCTCATGGAAATTCTAGCTTGCGAAAGACCTAAAGATACTGCTAAAGTCCTAGAGAAACGCAGAGTGCCCCTGTATCAGCAAGGAAACCTAAATGCTTATGATCTTCCTCCTCCAGGAGAAGATATCCCTGAGGAATGGTATGACAGTCTGGATATGAGCATTCTGCATACCTTTATGAAAGGAGATTATGTGGGCTATCTGGCTTCTTCCCAGCCCAAGGAGCATTACCTGTATGCTGTTGTCCTTGAAGTACTTGAGTCACAGAAGAATGGTGCTGGTCAAATACACAGATATCGTATTGACTTGGGAGGAGGTCGGCAAGAAGAAGTGACTGCTTATGACTTGTACCATTTCAAGAGAAATAAGCCAGTCTCCGATTCAAATAAAATGGTAGTGCTGGCTGCAGTTTCCGCTGATGCTGCCCAAGTAGTAAGACCAGATATTAATGAGTATTGGCATCACCGGCCACTGAGCGAGGTGAAGAAAGAGATAGATGCGTGCCTAGATCAAGTTTGGAGACTTTCAGAAGAGGAGAAGAAGAAAGCCCTTAGAAGATTATATCTATGTTACCACCCAGATAAAAATCTTGGCCAGGAAGATTCTGCTAATGAACTCTTCATATATCTTAAAGAAAATATCAAGGAGATGGAGAAGGGAATGAGGTCAAATGGCCCCAAAAGTAGCAATTCCTATCACAGAAACTTCTCAGACTGTTGGAGTGAATGGGATCAGCAAGCTCATCAGCATCAACAGAGGCACTATGAATTTACCAGAAGTGGTGGTGGTGGAGGAGGAAGAGGAGGAGGAGGAGGAGGAGGAGGAGGCAGTTACGATTTCTGGTCATACCATCGATGTGGACCAAACTCTTCAAAATCACAACCAAATCACTGTTTCCTGGAGGCAAAGCGTTGGCTCCGGCAAGCAGAATGTGATCTGCAGGTAGCAGCCAGCATTGCTGGAAATGGCAGCACTGAATGGCTGCTGTATGTGACTTTCCGGGCTATGGAGAAGACTCTGACAGCAGTTGAGTACAACCAGGGAGGTGGCTTTAAGAGGAATCTCTCTCTTGCAAAGCTGGCTGATAAGGCAGCATCTTATGGATGTGAGCTGGCTAAACTTCCTGAGCAGATAGATGTGCTCAGGGAACACGGCGTGGATGACAAGATAACACAGTATCCCAAATATCATACTTTACCCACCATTCCTAATGAGGCCTTTTCTGCCTGCAAAGAGCAGGATGTGCTATTGTCAGCATGGGAGATCTTAAACATGGTAAAGAGATGGCTTGGCCTCTAAACACCCCAACCCTGCAAATATTAGAAGCTGGGAAGGAGCATTGTATATAGAATGCAGCAGTACCTGTAAAGACATTTTGCAGATAGATGCTTTAAAATGAGAAAGATGGTTCTCTTGAAAAAAAGTAGCCTCACAGAACCTGTATTCTTTGTAGATGATAAAATAATAGAGAGTCTATGAAACAGTATGCATATTTTTTTAATATGGACATTCCATTTTTTTGTCTTTTGATAAGTTTCTTTAATAAACTTGGCTTTCTTAAATAACCAATTAAAGAATTGATTATATATTTATGGAGGGGAAAAATGGAATTATTATAGCCATAGGTTCCTTGATAGAAATTTCATTTCCTCTTTATCTTTGTATTTGATTCTTCTATAACAGGAATGCCAAACTGCCAGCCCCCAGTCCGGATGTGTCATCCCGAAACAGCGCTCACCCCATTGCCGGCAATGGGGAAAATGTCACGATACGTCACGCGACGTCACATGACATCGCGAGTTTGACATGCCTGTTCTATAAGATCAACCACCAGTTCACCCGAATATCCAATAACTACCGTAGAAGTAATAGGCAGTGTTTTTCCCAATGGATGTGCTTACTGAAATTCTCGTGACTAAATGAATATGTGCCATCAAGTTGGTGTTGATTCTTCATGTCAAAATAAATTTTCCCCATGATCTGTCCCTCATCTGGTACTTCAGGTTTTCCAGTGGCTTTTCAACCTTTTCATCCATAGTACCACTTTTAGAATATGGCCAACATTCAAGTACCACCAGTCACCCAGCAAGGTGTCAAAAGCTTGATGACAAAAAAAAATGAAAAAAATGATAAAGTACAGATAGTCCTCAACTTACAACAGTTTGCTTGGTGACTGTTCAAAGTTACAACAGCGCTGGAAAAAGTGACTTATGACCATTTTTCACACTTATGACAAATTGCAGCATCCCCAGAGTCATGTGATTTACATTTGGATGCTTGGCAACAGATTCGTATTTATGATGGTCACATTGTTCCAGGGTCATGTGATCACCTTTTGCAACCTTGTGACAAGCAAAGTTAGTGGGGAAAACAGATTCACTGAACAACCACGTTACTAATTTAATCTCTCTTTCTTTCTTTCTCTCCCTTTCTTTCCCTCTCTCCCTTTCTTTCTCCCACCCTATCTCTTTCTCTCTCCCTTTCTCTCCCGGTCTCCCTTTTTCTCTCTCCCTGTCTCCCTTTCTCTCTCCCTCTTTCTCTTTCTCTCTCCCTCTCCCTCCTTCTTTTTCTCTCTCTCTCCCTCTTTCTTCCTCTCCTCTTTCTCTCTCTCCCTCTCTCTAGTTCTCTTTCCCTCTTTCTCTCCCTCTCTCTATTTCTCTCTCCCTGTCAAATATCCTTAAAATCCTTAAAAGTTATGTTGGGTGGGCCCGACATTTGCGGGCAGGCAGGACCCTGCCCACTGAGCCGCCACCTTCCCATCACCCTCCACACCAGTCGGCTCCATCGCCAGACCTCCCAGCTGAGGGGTACAGGTCCGGGGGTCACCAGCTGATGGGTGCAGGAGTTCTGTGCTGAGGCAGTCTCCCCTTCGTCCTCCACACCGGCCAAAGCGTTGCCTGATGTTCCAGCTGACGGGCGCAGGTCCGGGGGTTGCCAGCTGACGGGCGCAGGAGTTCGGCGCTGTGGCGGCCTACCCTTCACCCTCCGCACCGACCAAAGCGTTGCCTGACATTCCAGCTGACGGGCACAGGTTTGGGGGTCGCCAGCTGATGTGCTGCTTCTTCAGCTGGAGCAGTTGCCAGGACTTGCATGGTTGCCGGCTGCGGGGAGCGTGTCAGCGGCCCTCGGCCATGCAAGCCCTGGCAACTGCTCCAGCCGAAGAAGCAGGCGGCTGGGAGGCCGCCGCAGCGCCAAACTCCTGCACCTATCAGCTGGTGACCCCTGGACCTGCACCCGTCAGCTGGAACGTCAGGCAATGCTTTGACTGGTGCAGAGGGCGAAAGGGAGGCCACAGCAGCTCAGAACTCCTGCGCCCGTCAGTTGGTGACCTCTGGACCTGCGCCCATCAGCTGGGATGTTTGGTGACGGAGCCGGCTGGCATGGAGGGCAATGGGGAGGCGGCGGCTCGGCAGGCGGGGTCCTGCCTGCCTGCAAATGTCAGGCCCACCCACCCCATCTGTAAAAGAAAAAATCTTCCGGCCAAGAATAACACCAGCAGTTCTGTGCCAGGGAGGCTTGAGACACGTAGGCACGGGACGCGGAGCAGCGTGGTGCCGTGGGAGGTGGCAGGACAGGAGGGAGGGGTTATCTACATCCTGCCAGCCGAATTCTGGAAGCCCGCCTGAATGAAGAATTTTAGGGGCTGTTGGAAGCGAGATAGAATGAGGACTGTATTAAGACCATAGAGATGGCTGCGTAAGGAGAGTGGAAGGGAGGCAAATTCGGGGTGGAGCAGAAAACACGGGGAGGGAAGGCATTAGGAAATAAGCACCAAGGTACATGGTGCCTTGAAAGGGATTCCCAAGTGTTCCGCAATTGTTTTTCCTCTCTCCTCTTCACGAGAAAAACTTTTGCGGCGTAAATCTGAAACCAGGTGTTCCTGTGAGGTGGTGCAGGAGGTTCTTGGGAGAGGTGTGGACAAGCTGGCATTTCCTCTCTCCCAATCCCCTTCCTCTTCTTCACTCCCTTCCCCAGCCTGCCTGCGATCTGAACTTGCGACTCTGTGGCTTTTCCTTGCCTAGCCTAGCCAAGTTTTCTTCCACCCACCCCATTCCTGGGAGCGCCTAGGAGGTAAGGCAGAAACACATGAATTGGGACTGTGGTGCCCTTGGGAAGCTGATCATGCTTTGAACCTTAGGAGAGGAGGAGGAGTCCCTTCCTCCTTCCCTCCCTCTCTTCCTATCAAGGTCCGGCAGGCTCATCATGAACGGGCCACACCCAGCCAATGGGCCACACCCACCCAACACCCGACGATGCATAAGTGGGTTTTGGGTTTCAGTTTGGGCACTCAGTCTCTAAAAGGTTTGCCATCACTGATCTATGTATAACACCTACCTGAGTCTTTTAAGTATACATCCTGTGTAGACATGACCACCAATGCTGAAGAGGAAAATATCTGCAGGCTCAGAAAAAACTCAAGGTTTGCAGATGTACCAAAAATTGATAAGGGAAAAGCAAACTCAACGAAGTGGGGCACTCAAAAGTAACCCATTGACCACTGAGAATTCTAAGTGGCTGCAATGCCTGTGGGCATGGTTATTTTTTTGCCGATGAAGGTGTTACCTAGTTGAATAATAATGAAACATCTGCAAGAAAACAACCAAGCTCAGAGAGCACCAAGGACCCCTCACAGTTCAACCCTGAGCTACAGACACTCTAATGAAAACAATACTATGAAACTTGGGTTGATGTCATTGAAAGGTTCTTCACACCTTCCCTGGTGTGTCCTAAGACACACCTAAGATTGCCGGGGCCATGGCCACTGAGTGGGAGTGGCTATGGTAGTCATGGCAGCATGGGTGGGTGTGGCAGGGTGGGCGTGGCCACCTCCATGTTGCTCCTGGGGAGGGATGCCTGTGGGTGCCGGACAGGATTGGAGGAGATCCAGGGTTCTCTGGCTGGTGGGGCAGTGAGTAAGAGGCTCGTCCTGCAGGGTGAGGTGAGGTAAGGGAGGGGGCAGGGCAAGGGTGCTATTGCCATGGGGCAAGGCTAGGCAAGGCAGGAGCTGGTTGCAGACAAAGGGGGGCTCCAGTGAGGAGGAGGTGGAAGAGGGTTTAAGCAAGCTTAAACTACAGCTGCAATCCAAAGATGACTGGGCCCGTAGTTCCGGGTCCAAACCAGAGCGCCCACTTGCAAGCACCTAGGTGCCCATGGCTGTCAGGCTGAAGACGCCACCCGATCAGGGTGCAATCTGTCAAGTTTAGTTATTAGTTTAGTTATTAGTCTGCAACCCCAGCAGAGTTCAGTTGGGCTCTTCCCAGTGGAAGTACATGGTGTCATGTGGTGTGCAAGAAGAAAGTCAGCTAATCTGTGATGCCAGTCACCGTAAGGCAGTTTCTTGAGGGCATCCTTGGTGATGTGCACCATACGTTCAGCCATACCGTTGGTGGAGGGGTGGAAAGGAGCCAAAGTCGCATGACGGATCATGTTAGCCTGAAGGAAAGCCTGGAACTCAGAAGAAGTGAATTGAGGACCATTATCTGAAACCAGAACATCTGGAAGGCCATGTGCTGCAAAAATGCCTCTCAGCACCCGGATTGTCCTGGCAGTAGTAGTGGAGGAAACAGGAACAACCTCTAGCCACCTTGAATGGCTATCAACAAGGACCAAGAAGAATTGCCCCTGAAAGGGCCCAGCGTAATCTATATGCACTCTGGACCAAGGTGATTGGGTTTCCTCCCACCTATGCACAGGGGCCTAAGGCATTTCTGGCTGTGAGTGCTGGCACAAGTGACACCCATGCACCTGAGCCTCTATAGCCTTGTTGAGCCCAGGCCACCACAGATGGCTATGCACAAGCACTTTCATCCTGACAATGTCAGGATGACCCTCATGTAGAGAGACCAAGATTCTCGGTCTCAAGGAGGCAGGGATAACTACCTTGCTGCCCCACAACAGGCAACCCTTAAAGATGTATAACTCATGCTTCTTAAGCCAGAAGCTCTGGAATTCAGTACCTGGACTTCTGTCAGGCCATCCAGACAAAAAGCATGACAGCACAAGTGTAAGTGTGAGATCTGTGGCAGTTTCAGCGGGTACATCCCTGGCATTGAGGGGAGATTCAGGGAACTCCTGAATGGAGAGAATATTGATGGCAGGAGCAGGGTCTGCTTCTACCAGCTTCAGAGGTAGTCTGCTTAGGCCATCAGTGTAGCCCATTTCCTTACCAGGTTTGTGAATTAATGAATAATCATATGATGACAAAAAATGGACCACCTCAGCATTCTAGGGGAAATAATATGAGAGGTTTGTTTGTTGGTTGTAAACAACCCCAGCAGAGGCTTATGGTCTGTGTAGACCGTGAAATGTTGGCCATATAAAAAATTATGGAATTTCTTAATTCCATCTACTAGCCAATGCTTCCCTGTCTATTTGAGCATAATTACGCTCAGCAGAAGATAGAGTCCTGGAGTAATATGCTACAGGAACTGGGTTCCATCAGCTCTCCCACCCCATAAGGGGATGCATCGCAGGCAATGCAGACAGGCAACTGCTCATTGAAATGTGCAAGCACAGCATTAGACGTGAGCAAAGCCTTGACCTCATTGAAGCTCTTTTT